TGAGCCACCGCGCCCGGCCCTTATTACCCATTTGTTGATCCACCCTGAAAGGCAACCTTACAAATGTAAAGCTAATAACATATATATAAATAATATATAGAGAACAGGGCTGGGCACAATCACACGTGTAATCCTAGTATTTTGGGAGGCCCAGGTGGGGGGATCATGAGGTCAGGAGTTCGAGACCAGCCTGGCCAACATGGGGAAACTCCGTCTCTACCAAAAATACAAGTAGTATCACATGCCTGTAATCCCAGCTCCTCGAGAGACTGAGGTGGATCATTTCAACCCAGGAGGCACTGGGATTACAGGTGTGAACCACCGTGCCCAGCCTAGTTTAAATTTTTCTTAGTGTGAATGAATACATCCTTTTTACCAACATTGTTTAACAATCTTACCTCAGGAGGATACTTTACAGCCCAGAATAATGTCCCATTAGGATTTTAAGATTGAAGCAGCCAGCCAGAACTGTGTGTGTGAGTGTGTGTGTGTGTGTGTGTGTGTGATAACATACACTTTTGGGTGCACATACTTAGGTAAGTATGATTTCGAGTAATTACATGTAGTACTTGAGCTGTTCTTTGTACTCTGGAGTAGGATGCTTACGTGGGTAAAGCGAAAATCAGTTTGTGAGTAGCAGTACAATTTCAGCCTTGTACACCCTCACATGTACATCACTGTTAATGAGCATGCCTGTATTATATTTCTACATGCCTCTTTCTTGTGTACCAAATAAGACCCATGGTGTGCGCCTTCATTTTCATGCACCAAAAATAGTAATACAACAAATATTATGAAATAAAGTATGGGCTTGGGGGTAAAAATGCTGTAACATAATTTCTTTTTGTACCTGTACTCAGTGACGTAATTTGAAAATATTAATGTTCATCCATCTTTGAAGTCTAAGCACATAGAGAATTTTGTTTTGGTACGTTAACTAGAAACTTCATATAGTCACCCTCACAAGTTTTTTGGTAATTTGAACTTTTGACCACTCTCCTGGAACTTAATAAGTCTCCCTAAGGTTTGGTTGGATATTGAGAATGTTGACGCCATACACTGACATAGTCTGAGAGTGTTCATTATATAATGAGGCTTTCTGGGGAAAGCAGGGTATACTTTTCCAGCTGGTCCAAAACTGGCTTCAGAAAAGTGAGTTAGGTGACTGGCTTGGGGTGTCATGATTGCTAAAGGGTACGGCTGAGGTGGGGGTGCGCACTTGTTTGAAATTCCAGTTGGTTCCAAAGGAGTGGCCACTGGGGCTTTATTACGATTTGACCAGATCCACATAATAGGAAGAGGGAGTGCAGAGGTATAAAAGGTGTGAGTTTCAGATATCATAAAATGCAGTCAACTCTGTTACAACACTGAATATTTCCTCTTGAAACGCCTGCCAGCTTGGTTAGGACATACCCCCAATTTATAATACCTAATTATAGAATATTCTATAATTATTGACATAATTCTGTAATGTATTACCCAATAAATGACAATTTTGTCATCTTTATTATACAATAAATATAATTTTACAAGAGCATTTTTCCAAAAGCTATGGATATGTCATTTTCAGATTATGGTATTATGCAATATATTCCATGGTTCACTTTCAATTGTAATAAAATTCTATTTTTTGTATGTATATATATTTTTACATTTATTTCATACGTTGCATCCAAATTCAATGTTTAATACATTTCTTCTCTGTTTTGCTCTGGTGAAAACTTTAGGGGACAAATAAATGAGGGTGTTGTTTGGAGACAAAATTTTGTGACATGAGACAGCATGGTGGCATGCTTCTGTAATCCCAGGTACTTGGGAGGCTGAGGTGGGAGGATCACTTGATCCCAGGAGTTCCAGGCTGCAGTCAGTGAGCTGTGATTGTGTGACTGCACTCCAGCCTGGGGGACAGAGTGAGACCATCTCAAAAAAGTTGTGACATGAGTATCCCATAAGACAATGGCAGATACAGACTAGGTTTAATATCAGTATGAAAAAGAAAAATATTTTTACTCTATTAGAAGATTGCAAATCATGTGAAGTGATTCCAGCCCTTTATTCTTTTCAGATATTCTGGATATTCTGGCTTTTGGGTTGGTTTTTTTTTTTTTTTTCCGGCCTTTCATCATGTTGGATAATCTTGTCAGTTATCCACAAAATGCCTTGATAGGAAATATATTAATCCCATGTATCAGTGTAGGGTAATTTCACATTGTTTGTTGAGTCTTCCGATAAATGGATGTTATACATATGTCTATTGGGTGTCTTTTTTCATCAGGATTTTGTAGTTTTAACATAAGAAGTCCTGTGAATGTTTTGTTAGACTGACACATATTTCTTCAACCTTTTTTTTTGTATTTTTTTTTCTTCTTTGAGATGGAGTTTTGCTCTTGTTGCCCAGGCTGGAGTGCAGTGGTACGATCTTGGCTCACTGCAATCTCTGCCTCCCAAGTTTAAGCAATTCTCCTGCCTTAGCCTCCCAAGTAACTGAGATTACAGGCACCCAATACCAGGCCCTGTTAATTTTTGTACTTTTAGTAGAGACGGGGTTTCACCATGTTGGCCAGGCTGGTCTTGTACTCCTGACCTGAGGGATCCAGCTGCCTTGGCCTCCCAAGTGCTGAGATTACAGGTGTGAGCTACTGTGCCCGGCCCCTGCATCCTTTTTATACTGACCCTTGTGATCATATCATTTTATCAGAGAAACCAAGGCAAACTTTCATCTCAGGATCCTTAAGTGATCACATTTGCAAACTCTTAACACATAAAGTAACCCAGACTAGGTGGATGGAGATATGGACATCGTTTGGAAGGACATTATTCATTCTATCATAAATATATTTTCTGATAATGGGTATTCTATTATATCTTCCTTTCTGGTCTCATATTTTTATGTCTTTATTTCACTGGCTACAGTGCCTCATACTGTGTTCAGAAGAGTAACTTGCCGTATTCTCAATCTCTATTGTGAAACATTAAGTTTTTTTTAACCAGAAATTTTGAGGTCTTCTTTAAAGTTTGCAGCTGTACTTTATTAAGGTAAGAAAGTTTGGCTTTCTTTATTTCTTTGAAAGTTTATATTATGAATGAGTGTTGGATTTTGTCAAATTTTTTTCTGCATCACTTTATAGAATCCTATGATATTTTCTTTTTATCATGTTAATATTGATTAAACGTTATATATGGATTGATTTATTCTTCTCGCAACCCAGTTTGGACAGAACATTAAATTTGAAATGATTAGGTTGGGCGCAGTGGCTCACACCAGTAATCCCAGCAGTTTGGGAGGTCGAGGTGGGCAGATCCCATGAGGCTTTTGTGGAATGCATTTCTATTTTCATTTGTTTTAAAAAAGTTTTAGTTTAATAATTCTTAATTTTTTTTATTGACTCACTGTTCATTCTGGAGTATGTCTCAAGGAAGCTGAAAAGGTGAGGGACAACATGTTTTAATATCAATGTGGAAAATGGATATTTCTTCTGAGAGGAGGGGCGTCTGGTTTCTAGGAACAGTCTTTGAGAGTTACAGCTTTAATTATGGCAGGGAGGCTCAGGGAACTGTAGAAAGAAAAAGTTCTTTTCAGCCTCACCGAGTGCCCCCTGTGCTCAGCAGTTGGTAGAGTAAATGGGATGAGCTACAGGATTACATTTAGGCAAAGGCCTTTGCTCTTCACCCAGCATACACTCTCACCCTGCACACACTTCTGTCCTTCCCCATTGTCTTCTCTAGCAAGGCAAAGCTGATGCTTCCTTAGTTGTGTGATTAAAGAAGAGAAGTCGTTTATCTTTTTGTGCCTCTCCTTTACACCTCCCTCAGGTCTTTGACCTTCCTTTCTACTGCTCTGCTTAGACTTTCACTTCTTGCAGTTGCACTATCACCCAAGACCCAAGGATTTAGATTGTGAATAATATTCAAGCCAACATCATTGCCAAGTGAGAAATCTTTTTTTTTTTTTTTTTTTTTATTGAGTCTTGCTCTGTTGCCCAGGCTGGAGTGCAGTGGTGCAATCTTGGCTCACTGCAACCTCTGCT